TTACATTAAGTGATTGTGAAGTACAGTTTCGAATTCTGTGACCTATTTCAATGATCAAGTTTGGCACACTTACGAACGACTAACAAAACAAAAATTGTTACTTTTTAAAAAAGAACTAAATTTTACCGCATTGAAGCGTTCCCGTTTATACCCGTACTGTACCAGAGCATAGTCGTTTGACAACTTCCTTATAAAATGAGTTTGGATTTGTCAAAACTTCTTTTGATTAGTCTCTCTTATTTTTGTTATGTACAATACTCGAATATGTGCACTCGAATACGGTACAGACTGCGTCGAGCGTCCATTTAGTTTTCTACCCCTCCGTATCCTATTATATAATATCCATTTAATCTACATGATCGTTCACACGGGTCTCTACCAGCTTTCGCAACAATGTTTTTCACACAAAAATTATATTATAGGAATATATTTTCCTTTTATTGACCTAAAGTCACCTTAGACGAATTGCTTTATTCGATGTAACAGTTGTTCCCACCTGCGAGCAAATCGTTTTTAAGAGATATAGTTTCCGAACTTTTGGCAAATGCCTATTCTCAGTCATGTGGCACTCACAGGCACTGCGTTTCGCCCAAATACACAGTTCGAACTGCTAACGAGCTACAAGTTCCTAAAGTACAAGGTTTTCAGAAGGCAAAACTTTTGAAATATTTTAGAAGACGAAAAGGAACAATCTTTGGCATGTACCTGGATGATTCGATAAGCATGCGTCCAGTCGGCCTCGATTTAGGTCAGGCGAAGTTAAAGACATTGACGACGACCACCTCATTTCGTATTGAGAAGCGGCCATGCGAAGCAATGCTTAACCGTAGCAGCGAACATTAAACTCGAAATATCTACTTTGACTTGTTTGACCACGTGATCCAGTGTGTTATTGTTTATTAATAGAAGTTTCCTTAACCTGGATTTTTAAACAGTGATGTGTATCTAGCTTCTACGTTTCTCGGGTTCATATGGGCACAGCAGGTTCAAAGCGCTCACCCGGCAATGGGGGCGCAAGAGGGCCGTTTTAATTATCTGTACTTCACCAGCTTTGGAACCACTGATGAGCTCGCTTTGTTAAGTTTTCCACAACATTTGGCTTGCTACGTATGATAAGTTTAGAAGACTAAACTGTTAGCCGGACTCGTAAGGGCCGAGCATTTCAAATGCGTTTGGGGAGCCCCTATAAGCGGATCGTCGGGCTACAAAAGCCTCTCATATCCAGCAGCTGGTCTGTAAATTAATATAGGTCGCCATTCTTTTAAAAATTCAAGTGCTTGATGGAATACAACTATGCTGGATCATATATTAAAATTGATGCTCGACTATCAAATGGTATCGACTTGTTTGCCGCATCGATCAAAAATACCCATAGGCTCTAATCGTTGGTGTACCGCTGCCTTTAATTGTGGACTGATTAACTCGTTGGTACTTTTATATTATCCCCAAGAGTCAGAAAGGCAAGTATACGGAATCCTTCTGCTCATGGTTGCTTCAAGTGCTGCGACGGTCATGCCGCCTGATGTGATGCTGAGGACGATAATATTACTCATAGAGAAAGCGTTTTTATGATTGACCTTCACACAATATATCATTGTTGTTGATGGCATGCAAATTCAAAACACTTAGCATTATCAGGCATTTTCGCCTGTACGGTAAGAGTCAACTAAAAGTGTATGTTGATCATATAACAATATATTACGTTCTTTTTATTATAGTTTATTACATAGAAGACTTGCGATAGACTATTCAGGGCGTGCTTAAAGGCGACAAAGCTCTCCAAATTGTATCCCCCAGGAAAAATCAGTTTCCCGCGTTACAGATACGGACACTCCTTTTTTCGTTTGCTTCAAGAAAATTGAGGTAAATTTTATTTTGGAAGACCGTGCACTGGGCTTTTGCTTGATCACAGATGTGACCTTCAAACGAGTGACAGGCCAGCGTCTCGCAAGGACACTGGAAGAGCTTAAAAAATAGCCACCTTTCCGAATTTCACATAAATCCTTTTACAAGTTTTTGCAACTCTAACAAATTGCATCGCAAAAAACTGGCTGTACAGTTGCTTGATTTCCTCAAGGTGCGTAGGCGGCTTAGCGTCTTGTTTAGGAAGATTTATTGATCATTCCACTGACACATGGAATAACAGGTATTAAATTTTATTATCCTTGCAAAATCTGAGACTAACTTTCAGGGCCTTTTCCATGACTTCCTGACTAATGTTCATGTTTAGCATGACGCATCCTACAAAGTACACATAGGTGAAGTGTGAATTTGCTCGAGCGAAATTATCAAGGTCACCGACGTGCAATTAACAACTAGATAACGGCTGTTTAGAAAGTAGCGTTGAGTTGATGGTACGAACGTTTTCCTAGGATGTAATTATATTAATGCTATCGATGATGGACTAATACAAGCAGCGTACAATAGTATTAAGAGCTTCAGTAATCTACGACACCTCATATTCACCAGCACAAGGGTCTTCGTTAGCAAGGACGAAAAAGTATCGGTTTGCAAACCAACACGCATACGACTGTGATGATTTTGTGCATTTTAATCTGACTTGACATGGTGCTTTATGTCAAGAAGAACAGCCTTGGGAACAATCGGGTGTATGGTAAGAAAACAAAGTTTCGCTGCACACTGAACCTCGTTGCCTTCACAGACCGAGTGACGACTGTTATTCCGTTCTCGCACTATCGCTAACTGGGCACAGGCCCCAGTGGTGGTTAAATCTAACATCTGAGGATTCAGAAGAAGAACAACTTGATAGTTATCAATACAACAACCAGGGTTCTTCAAAATGGACGTCATCCAACGATTTCACAGTAAATTAATTCGTTGCCTATCGGGATGTTTGACACATCAACGAAATCGATCGTCATATACTGATAGCTTCTGATACAATAAATATAATTAGGGTGGATGCTTGTCATGCGATCTGTCAAACGGATAGGAAGTTGCTCATTCCCATGTACATTTTTCCACGCACGAAGCTACGAATCAATCAAACGCAGCTATATGCTCAAGCATTTTAAATGATCTTTCTTAGATATCGAAATATATACTGCTGTCACATTCAAGTCCGTTTTAATGAATGCAAAGTGAACACAATGAAGCTAACCACGAAATCTCCAAACGGTCAGATGCGAAATAACGATAAGTTTTATAATAGTGCGAAGCCACGGTTAAAAGGAAAACGCCAAAAGCTTAATCGTACACAAAAATGCTACAGATAAATGCAACAATAGGCTTGTTATTATACTCGGATTCTGAAATTATATATATATATGACATAAATGAACATGATGGCGTAAAAGCGAATTAAGGCTTCTTTTTACCTTCAGTTACGCTGGCTTGGCCATAACCGAATAGTTCCGTAAGAGTTGGCCTGAGACGCATCGTACACATGTACCTTTCTTACGAGACGGAAGAGGGTTTACGCTATAAAAAGCAGAGTATATAAAATCCTGTAAATGGTTCACTAATGGTGTGGAATACAATGTCGTAGGGTTCCGGACAAATTTTGGGACCATCCGAATTAGCTACTCAGACACAGAAAATAGTTACCAGTTCAGGGAATCTAGTTCCCTCTAAACTATTATATTTAAGGATCTGTAAACGCATGTTTTTACGCAATGTTTGTCGACTCCCGCAACAATGCATTCATTCTTAAAGGCGGTCAAGAAGTTCTATACTACCCGAAGACTGTTGAACCTTCGAGAAGAAAGACATTTTCGATTTTTTACAAAACGGAGCAGTACACTTGCCGAATTAAATCACTTATAAAATATATATATATATATATATATATATATATATATTTTTTTTTTTTTAATTTAGTTTAACCTCTAATTATATTGCTGATAAAGATAAATTTCGACTTAATTCGTTTTTTGAAAAATGCATGGTTTTAAGCAAACTTCCTTTAAATTTACGTTTCATGGGTTGGCTATGCTGATCGAGAACATCAGTTATTCCAATGTAATGACGAAATGCCTTTGACAGAAAATGTTGTTTCTGTGCTACTTGCTTCTTCCATTTCGGGTCAGAACACTTCAACCCACTCCTTCAAGTTTACCTTTGGTCTAGGTTTCTTTCTTCAGATGGAAAGCGCACAAAGAGAACTAGCACGACATTATGGGGGATACGCGGTACGAGAAGAGCGGTTGGAGGGGGCAACGGGGCTTGAGGGCGACGATTCTCTATTTTCCTTTCTCTTTCCCGTTCATAGCGTGACGCCTTTCGAATCAAGGCTTACAGCAATACTCCTAAGATGGAGGCGATCCGGAATGTTTACGACTCTTTCGTCATTGCGTGCGAAGCTTCAGCATAAGCGGACTCTAGCCGGGATCAGTCGGGTCGGCAGGCAACGATTTACGGCCTATGACACTACCAGCAAAAATAGCAGCAGTGAAGACAAAACGAGTATTGCCATGTTGCTTGTTTCGCGTCCTCCAGCGATTTTTCTTTTTGCATATTGGAGTCAGCTACTGCAATGAACTCTTTGGACGGCCGCTAGCGTTGCCCTGGCGTCTGAGCCTCGCTGTCTGGGACTGTTGCCTGTTAGACTAGTCTCTGTCCTCTTGCCTCAGAAGCAGCGGCATACAGGCTATGAACGACCGCGTCCTTGTACTGTTTCTCTTTCTCACTCTTTGTTATATCCTGAGGGCGCCCTCCTTCCTTCCGCTTTCGGTAGCGATGCGTTCATCCATCCATTGCTGCTGGTCAGGGTTCACAGCAGCGTACAGCATACTCGCCTGCATAGAGCAGCAACTAGAGCGCAGAAGCATTTGGTGCAGCAGCGGTTCGGCCTGCCAGATAGCCATCTAGCGTCTTGAACGCACGCTAACACGCGGAGATTCGCTGCCGCCACTGCTGCTGTTTGGCCGTGGTGCTAGCTCGCTTTAAATCCGAGGCTGACGGTCAGCCGCTGTGGCTGCTTTCCGGGAAAAAAGGGCACGGAGCACAGCACAGGACAGCGGCGCAGGTAATCACACCGACCGCATCATACGGGAGTGGCCGCAGAGGACTACGATCGTCGGTGCAAGAACAAAACGAATAATCTGCTGCTACAAGCAGCCAGCCGGACAGACAAATGACCAGCGCGATCGCAGTTGCGTATTAACGCGTGCGTGTGTGTGTGTCTGTGTGTGTCTCTGTGTCTGTGTGAAAGTGATCGAGCCGAACGGTTAGTTGTGAATGAAACAGAAGGTACTCTTTTCTCTGCTGCGTGCAAACACAGCAGCGGTAGTCCCAGAAACAACGGCAAAGCAGGTGCCGAATGCAAACAGGCTGCTGACTGCAGCTCTATCTTTGTAATCGTAACGGCAATCGCTGCCACCACCGTTGCCGCTGCTACCGCCTCCATATACTTAGGCAAGACCAAAGCAGTTACAACAGCAGAGGCCGCGCGTACAACTTGTGCGCGTATAGGTGCGAGGCCACTGATTATGAGCAGACGGCTCTTGTGGGCATGTGGGATCGAGAGGAATAGAGTGGGGTGTGCGTCCATGACTTCAGCTGTCGCTCGAAGCGACCGCCACCTAGGAGTTCGATACTACTATTGCGACGACGACGACGACGACGACAACTGTCGTGGTTATTCCTTCGACTTTGTTTGTAGCTTCATTCTCTTTTTGGGCGTAAGCGTCGATTCATCTATACGTGTATAAGCCTTGAAACAAATCCGTGGCGTATCGCATTGCCAGAGTGCACTTAGAAAGCGACAGGCGGTGAACCGAATTGAACAACCGCAGCGGCGTCTGTTCAGATACAAACAGGCGATTTCTGGTCTCTCTAACTGCTCCTGCTGCTGCTGCTGCTGCTACGTGGCCTGCTGTTTGAGATTCCGTGCATTCATGTGCTAGCGTCAAATACACAGGGAGAAAAGAGATATTCCCAGCACCAGCTGGGCGTCAACTAGTCCTTTGCTAGTTTTCCTACAACTGGTTTGTTGACGGAAGACTAACGTTATTGTTGAACCGTGAGCGCGGAACGCGCGGCAAGACGCGACCGCCAACGGTATCGTTCGGCGCAATCAAGCACTTTCTTTCTCACCGTTCATTTTGTCCATTCGACGATTTGTCTGGTTCAATACATTATTGTGATTCAGGAAATTAAGCTAAATCCAGATCCCAAAGAGGCCGGTGACTTATACAGTAGAGCTGTGCGAAAAAGTTTTTGTGTTTGCTCTGAACAACGGGCCTCGTTCTAATTGTTAGATTTGATTGTTATTGTTGTCGATGATTGACCGATCTTCCGACGGCGCTGCGCATGGCCTGACACTGTGTTTGTTGCGAGAGTAGCGCACTGTTTCAAACCAATCGCACGGCCGTGTCACGCTATAGTGGTGTCCACGCATCCACCGGTTAGACGTGTGTGTCCCGCAATCACGCAACGCGACCAGGCTAAGGCAAAGCTAGGGTCGCACACAGGCCTCAGGACTCGATATGTTATCGCGATATTCTCGCGAGATTGCGAGACTCATCGTTAGTGAGGACAGTGAATATCGACGGACGCCGGAAACACGCTTACGAATGAAGCTCATGATCATAGACTAACACATTATTCGAGCTATCGTTGTTGGTGCATTCATTCTGTCGGTTCGTGCAGAGTAACAGTGGCAGAAAAAAGTAGAGCGTCCACAAATTGCCTACATCAGACAAGTGCGTTCCAAGTCCAGGAACAGCCGCAACAATGTCAGCTACGATAAAAATTACAGCGGCATATAAACGTAATAAAAGTCATAAAATATTAATAATTACATTACCATATAATTAACAGGAAGTGGTATAACTGTGGGTCAAGGCACGACAACAACGGTACTACGCAAAGAAGCCAGTCATCGTTATACCGTCGGATACACCTGCCGAGCAAGGTGTCTTATGGGTCACAGTAGTAGTAGTTTAAGTATTACGATTCTAGTTGGCTGCCTAGACCAGTCAGCTACTGCCTTCTACACAAGCGATACCTAGAAGCGGTGGCGTCATCACCGGGCCGATCGGGAGTACAGGCCGTCAATACTGCGTCGAATTCTGTCGACGAGCCGGACTCGTTCGTACCTCGTCGGGAGGATCCGGGTAGTTTCGTAAGTCGTAAGGACAACCCACAGAGCGTCCTGTCTCATCTACTTAATAGTATTCCCCTGGCACAATTTAAGGGACATTCTGTTTATCCAATACAGCAGCGTTGCCAATTATATTAGCGAACCCAATAGAGTATTTCTTGTTGAAAGATAGCCAATGTATTTATATTAACTAGTACTAATTTGGCTGTTAGAAATCCGTGCTGGTGGTCTAGAATTTCCTGGGGTAGCATACCGCCGTCGAGCGCACTGTTTCCGTTCTACTAATGGCTCGATTTACCTTTTGAGGTTAGCACTGTCCTGCAAGTTGGTTTGCTTGAGACTAGTTGGTCGCGAGTCTGATAGACGAGGGGTGGTAGCCCGATCCTAAACACTTGATCCCTGACCAGCTGTCGTACGACTGGCGAGTGCGTTTGCTTAATCGCAGCACCTCTACAAGAGATCACCGTGTGACAAATTCGAAGTGTATTTTACTTTTGATGCTGCTATTAATACTGTGTTCCTGATCGTGGGGCAAGTAGCGTTAGCCCTTAAGAGATAAAAGAGCATTATCACAACAACAAGTGCTGCTATCTTGGTGTGCTAGCGGCGACACTGCCGGTGCGACGCTGTTATCGGCGTTTAGTCGGTGTTGCTACCAAAACTGGTGCTATCCCAGAGGAAAAATAGAAAGTGCGGGTGAGCTACTGAGCGGTGTGACGACTGAAATCAGTTGAGCCCAACATCGAGGAAGCGAACACTTGCTAGACCGACGGATGAAGTGACAGACCCCGAGAACCGTAGTCGCTTCAAGCGTCGCCGATAACCACGACAGCAGCCAGTAGCTGCAATTTTAGCCTGTACGCTCTCAGCTGAACTGCTACGACAGGAGCAACATAAATAAACAAAAAGAGGAGAATCCTAGCCATCCGAAGCAAACCGAACCATAGCAAAATACCCCATTCAACATTGACACAGCAGCAACAGGCTCTACAGCTTGCGTACTTGAGCAGCTCGCGTCCGTCGTTGTCGTCGTCATCATCGTCGTTTGTCGCCCGCTGAGCTGCGCCCTGTTTTGACGTTTTTCGTCCGTTCGTTCGTTCGTTCGTTCGTTCGCCTTATTGCCGTTCGCCGCTGATGTATGGTAGCTGAATCTGTTGCATGAGTGCGGGATAAAGAGTAAAAGAGCGCCAGAGAGTCATTGAGAGCGGCTGAGGAGCGCTGAGTGAGTGAGTGAGTGAGTGAGTGAGTGAGTGAGTGAGTGAGTGAGTGACTGACTGACTGACTGGCTGGCTGGCTGGCTGGCTGACTGACTGACTGACTAACGAACGAACGGCGCACCGAAAGCGCTGCCACCGCACCACTACGCTAGCACTAGTTACTACCGGCGAGTCGCACTATTCGTGTAGTTGCTGTCTTCCCCGCTGTCGTTTGTTGTTTGAGGCGGCACACGCTCGGTCGGTCGCTGTGCTGCAGATAGAAGAAAGCAGCAGCCAGCGGTGGCGGCAAGTGATCCAGCCATCCAGCTACTTGTTAGTCTGTGACCAGCCAGCGGCGATTGAGCGGTACAGCCGGGTGTTGGCCGCGGACAGAGCTGCAGGGCGTTTGCGTCCGTCGTATGCTGTGTGTCACTTTGACTATTGACGATTGAGAAGCTCAGAAGCAACTTCATACAGCACTTAGCTGACGCCAGGTCGAAGTTGATAAAAAAAAAATAGATAAAGAAAAATAGGGAAAAGGAAAGCCATCAGACTACAATTACCGCTAGCTCTGCGGTAAAGCAACGAACGTGCAGTAATTTGTGCTTGTCACCAGTACGAGTGCACTGTGTTTGATTCACCATTGTCGCCGTAAGCTCTACGATCATACATTAACACGTGATTAATCGTAGCAACAACTGTACAATATACGGCCTTTTGGACCAATTTTCTGGCAAAAGCAAAAGTAAAGACGTGAGCACATGGATGCGTGTACAGTGTAGAGAGCGTGCAGTCAACCTAACCAAGGTTGGAATAACAAAAGGAGTAACTGGTCCGTCAAAGCGTTCGTATTAAGACAAGTGCGTCCTTTTCGCATTGAGCTGGATCGTTAACGAAACCCATCGAGGAGTAAAAGGCAAAATCTGCTTGACCACTGTGAATCCTGCTGCGTTTTTCTACCGCGGCTGTCTAACAGGGAACCAGAGAAAGTGGAGGATCTGTTCCCGCGCGGACGTACCACGTAGAGTGAATGATGTTCTTGCAGAAATAATCGTCATTGCTGTTTTCATGATTATTACTGTAATCGACACAAGCTACAGCTTGAAGAACGAGGAACGAAGTCGCTAAAGTTCCGATCATAGAAGTGCTGTCTATGTTATCAGCTGGTGCGTCGTCAGCAATCAACTTACCTATTATACAATAGCAACTACCATAACTATAATAAAACATTGCTATAAACAGTAGTTCGGTGCTAACTATCGCAGGGCAGCCCATTCTCTGCGCCGGCTGCCTATTATTTACGCATAGGCCTATTGTTGGCGGTCTCTTCTCCGTCCAGGTTCTATCCTTGCCAGATCCATACATTAATAGAGCTCGTGTGAGTCGACTTATTTTAAGTTCAATACAAAGTATAGCAGAGCAGCACGCCAAAGCAAGATTGATAATGGGAACGCGTAATACGTCAACGAAAAACAAACTCAATCTGAAGCTTCCGCCAATCGAGCCATTCGATCAGCTGCTCGACGAGAAGATCAATGAGTAAGTCTGGTGCACTTGAGTATTTGTTCTATATCCAGCAATACTGTTCGAAGTAGATAAATGAATCAATAGAGCAGGAGCGTACGCCTGATCAATAACCGTTTTACAAATCGTTGCAGCTTTGTAAGATGATGTTTAGGAAAATTAAAGATATAACCCAATTGTAGCAATTATTTGTAAATAGACAGCGACAAACTTAGTTAGCCGTTTAGACCTATTGAATATTACCCATATTGAGACGGTAAGCTTGAACGTTATGAGTTATGATTCTAAAAGATGATGAAAGCGAAATACGAAGTGGGTTCGTACTAATGGGTTGGTCGTCGCATGATGCTATGGGGCGGAGTATGAACCCTGTTAGGGATCGTAACAAACTCTCGGGTAACGAGTAATAATAGGGTAATAGTACGTGCAATTGCAGTGGTAACAATCGGTCGGCTGATCGTTTTACCGCATCAGTGGCAGCGACTCACACTCCGTCAGCCAGTCCCTTAGGTTATATATATTTCGTTAATTGACGCCGTCTAGTAGTATGTACATCCGGCGCTTGCAGGGCTCGACGAAAGCTGGCTTGAAACTGTGTCATAGGCATACCCAGGCACCGATTAACAGCTTAATGGTACTAGAACACGCATATGGACAAAAGTAACAGGGGAAATTGGCCTAATTTTGCGGTTGCTATTGTGCTCGTTGCAGCCATTGTTGTAGATGATCTATATAATTAAAGTAGTTCCCAAAATTTGCAGTAGGTACGAACCGAGTGCTATTCAGCAGTTCTGGCAAAAACGGTTTATTTTTCGGTAGTATAGTGATTGCATGAAGATTTAGATAAAACAGTATTGCGATTAGAGAAAGGTATAGTTTTTGGCATGGACTTTAAGGAAAAATGAAAATTACTATAGTTAGTTGTACACTGTCATCTCTACACATATTGATCTTATTAGCGATACCTATCTATACGAAAAACGTGTGAATTTAAAAACACCTAAGTTTGTTACAATGTCGAAATACGGAGATGGTAAAACGAAGGTTTTTTACACTTGATGAAGCCATGCGGATAATATAGTAGCTAAAAAAACAGGCCCAGATGAGGGAGAGTGTGTTAATCAAAAATGTATATTGTTTAGTTAAGTGTATAATAACGTGTTCGGCCAGTAAAACTTAAGCGAACTCAACAGACCAAACGCAAATATCACGTTCAATAACTTAGTAATAGTTTACGAGCAGGAGTTTACTGCTATGGGACTATACGTCGCGCAACAAGCAGACTCTAAGCTTGCCTATTTATAATTAAACCACTATATTTAGTGTGTAATATCATAGCGTGTAATATGGCTGCGATGTTACTCGTTCTATTTTCCTGCAGCACCTCTCATCTGCAATTAATTGATGTTATAATAAAAATTATTATCGATTGATCTATTATCGATAATAGGCAATCTGCGACTCTATGATCTGTAAAAAGTAGGCTCTTCCTTGACACGCGCGAACTATAGCAGACTGGACGCTTTAGCGAAGGCTATCGAGATCTGCCCACGGTTATCAGCATTATAAAGGCATACATCTTGATGTTTCCATGAATATACTCCGTAGAAAGCTAGCGGCAGAGGAAAAAGAAAAATGGTTGCCCACGCAGCCTGAACATTGGAGCATGAAGGACCACAGTATTTCGCACGGTTGCCTTTACGGACGCCGCCGACGTTGCATACTGTCGACTGTATGTTCGTCCTCCGGTTGTCGCTGCTCGGGAAAAAAGGGGACACCGCACAATGCTCTTAGTCTAGACACGGAAAGGTGACATGAGCAGCAGAACTCCTTTGCAAATAAGCGGGCATTGCTACTTCAAGGCCCTTTTTTGGTGTCTGCTATCACCAGCTAATCCGCGCTCCTCTGACAAATGTTTATAGCCACCTCTTTCGTTTTGCTTATCCCTCATAACACATCCTTGCGGCATCGTTCTCGTCCTTTCCCCATCCCCTTCTTTAATTTGATCTCTACGTGTTCTGCTGGACCTGTTCGACTTTCTGGGGTATTATCCATGCTGTCAGATAGGACTTGTTGCTGTTGCTTGCTGCTAGTATCTTTTCAATGGATTAGGAACAATCCCTGCGTGAAGGACTTTGCTGGAGGTGATTTCGTCATTCCCAGGGAACCGGATTGCCTCGAAATATCCACACCGACTGAACAGTGAAATAGCCGACTAAGGTGAATCGGCACGCCATCGACCCACTTCTTACACAGCAAAGGCATACGCACTGATGCATCTTCATCGCGTATAAGGGGCACCGTCTCGGTGTGGTAATTGGCAAGGAAGAGTTGAGATCGGTTTCGACGAATAGATTGGATCTGTTGGGACTAGCGTAATGCAATGACGTGAGCGGGCTCGTATAGACTCACATATACATTCGATGAATGGATCAAGAAGAGTAATGATATAATCATGCAGACTCTCTGAGTGATTTGAATGCCATGCTGTTGCTAACTTGTGCTGGTGACAGTGCAAAGATTGACATCGGCGGCAGTGGTAAAGTAGACATCTGGAACATCCAATACGGGGTGAACATAGAAGAAACCTAGACAAGCAAAGTTACTTCGCTGCAAGCCCGTCTAAGAAGACACAAAAAAGCCACATGCATGCATACACCAACGCACTGTTGCCCGTTCGGCACAGACATCGCCTCGGTGGCAACGTCGTTCCTTTTTTGAACGCTCCTGTTTCTTTTATTGAATAACCGAAAGAATGCGCGCGCTCTTGCCTTGCCGACACCTTCGATAATTTGCCTTAATCACGCCTAAAGGTTCCCTATTCCGCATGGCATTCAAATCACCCAAGGAGTCTACATGATTATATCATTACTTTTCTTGATCCGTTCTTCGAATGCGTATGTGAGTCTATACGAGCCCATTTACGTCATTGTATTATACTAGTTCCAGCCTATTCGTCGAAACCGATCTCAACTCTTCTTTGCCAATTACCACACTAAGACGGTGCCTTTTATACGCGATGAAGATATAGCACCCTTTGCTGTGTAAGAAGTGGGTAGATGGCGTGCCGGCTCACCTTAGTTGGCCATTTCACTGTTCAGTCGGTGTGGATATTTCGAGACAGCCCGTTTCTCTAAAAGTGGAGGAATCACCCTCAGAAAAGGGGAAGCAAAGTCCTTTACAAAGGGATGTCCCCGATCCTCTGACAAGATATCAACTGCGAGCAGCAGCGGCAAGTTTCATCTGGTGGCAAGGGCAATATTCCAAAAAGCCGAATAGGTCCAGCAGGACTCGTAGAGGTCAAATTAGAGGAGGGGGTGCCGAAAGAACGAGAAGGGTTTAAAACGAAAGAGGTGACAATGAACGTTCGTTAGAGGACCCTGGATGAGCTGGTGGTAGCAAAGGCCGCTAAGGAAGAACCCTGAAGTAGCGATGACCCCTTACTTGCAGACGAATTCCGCCGCTCGTCGTTGGTTCCCCACTCTCGCCGTGTCTAGACTGGGAGCACTGTGCGTTTTCCTTTTTGTGCAGAACATGCATAGGTGCGCTGTCGCAAGTTGGTGTCGCGGTAGTGCCGTCAATTTTACGTGAGTCAAACAGCGTCACGTTTATATTCATGCTCTTATTGCTCTGCATCTGCCCTAGAAGTTCCTTGCCAGGATGAGATAAGGCGGTCATATACGCCGCCTTTACACATGGCGCTATTTTTTTTTCGATTAACGGATCCGTATAATCAGAACATGTCCTAATTCTTTTCCAATAGCGTATTCCCTTAATTGTCGACCTGTAGTAATCTCATAATTTTTACACGGCTGAGTACTTCCGCTGCTGTCCTTTACAAACCAGTCAGACCAGATGCAAAGAATATAAACTGAAACTATCTATAAACATATGTACGCGATCAAAAAACGACGGTTTAGTATGGGTGACATGCAACTCCTGGACAGTTTAAAAAAATTCCATGAAACCAATGCCAACAAATAATCAATGATCATATTACAAGGTCCATGGTGTCAATGATCTCATTTGCTGTGGGCAGCTAGATAAAATTATGCACTTTTGAGCTTCAGCTGTAAAAACATCATATGAATCCATGCTTTACGTTGGTGTATGACACTTTGCAATTGTATTGAATAAAAGTGGCAAGTCAAATTTTGTCAAACCTACAAAACCATAGCATTTAGGGTGTTTGTTTTTTACGCTTGAAAACATTTAACCAGGCGTATTAGAGCTTAATATAGTTCCATATGGATAAAGGCTGTGCTATTCAAATAGATCCCATTTGTGTTCGCCTTGGCAACGCGATACCTTTACTTTGTATAGATGTATGCTTTGTATTATAATATATATGTATAGTGCACCCACTTATTTTTTGCCAAAGGGTAATGTTAGTAATTATAATATTTTAGTGACGAAACGCGTTGGTACCCATATGGGTAGCAAAAATCATTACTGATGTGCGGTGCGGAGCTTCTGGTATTCAAGGCCGTATTGCACTGCTCCGCCTCACGTCGACTAGAACTAATGCTTTGCTAGTAGACTATTTCATCAGCGGCAAACTCAACTCAGACGCTAGACAGTCGACAGTTTCAGCATCACAGACATTACCACTAGAAGCAATGTCCAGACATAATGGAAACGAGTACTGGCGACCCCAGCGACGCCTGGGGCTGTTGCGACCGAGACTAGCTCGCTTTTCTATCAAGCTTCGTTCCCTGGGGACTTCACATATACACGTTCACACAGACATACACACATTCGTGAGCTCCTATGGATGACTCATGCGACCGACGCGACGCGCTGCTTCTTTTGTTGTTTGTTGCTTTACATCTTTCTTTGTCGGCCATCAATGTTTTGCCATTGCTGCGTCAGCAAAGCTGAAGCTACTGCTCCTGGGTCCAAATGATTTTACTGGTCTCTCGATGCTTCGATGTGCTGCAGACATCTGTAGACCGCTACTGCTACCGCTGATTAGGTGGCAGCGTTAGAGTCGAGTTGCCTGGTCGATAGTCGAG